TTCATATGATGTAGTCTGTATAGAAGTTAAATAAGCAGGTGACAATATACAGCCTTGATGTATATTCTCCTTTCCCGATTTGGAACCAGTCTGTTGTTTCATGTCCAGTTCTAACTGTTTCTTCTTGACCTACATACAGATTTCTCAGGAGGCAGGTAAAATAGTCTGGTACTCCCATCTCTTGAAGAATTTTCCACAGTTTGTTGTGATCTATATACTCAAGGCTTTGACATAATCAATAAAGCCGGAGGTAGATGTTTTTCTGGAACTCACTTGCTTTTTCTATGATCCAGCAGATGCTGGCAATTTGATTTCTGGTTCTTCTGCCTTTTCTAACTTCAGCTTGAGCATCTGGAAGATCATGGTTCACATATTGTTGAAGCCTGGCTTGGAGAATTTTGAGCATTACTTTGCTAGTGTGTGAGATGAGTGCAGTTGTACATTAGTTTGAACATTCTTTGGGACTGCCTTTCTTTGGGATTGGAATGAAAACTGACCTTTTCCAGTCCTGTGGCCACTGCTGAGTTTTCCAAATTTGCTGNGTCCACAGAGCAAAGTGTGTCTGGGAATCATCAGGCCTGTAGACTTTGGTTTAAATGCTTAAGTCCTGTTCCTCTCAGGTCCCGGCTAGACTCCACCCCTCTTTCTTCTGTATATAAGCCCCCACTCCTCACCCATCAGCTGCTGAGAGAACGAGTTTTCTTACCGCACGAGTGATCCTGGTTGACCTGAAAGACACGCAGATGCCCAGGCCACTGGACAGCCACGTCCAGAGACCCTGGCAGCCCTGCACGGTGCCTGTGGGCAATCCACCAACATTTATTGAAGGAATTCTCCAAGGCACAAACAAGAGGCTGTAGCCATCTGCAGGGAGGAGCCAGCAGCCCTAACACGCCAGCCTCATGCTCCAGGGAGCCCACCTGGAGCCCGGAGAGGGGCTGGCATCTTAGGAGGGGCGTCTGTCAGGGGCACGGTCGCGAAGCCGCCACCTGGGGACCCCAGGTCAGAGCCCCGGGGTGTGGGCCCAAGAGTGTCCATGGCCCTCACAATGTCAGACAGATTTCCACACAGCTCTGACCAGCTCCACGTTCAAACCCTGGTCGGTCAGGCAGTGGGGATCAATAAGGCATCATCTGAGCAGCACGCACACGGCCAGCTGTGGAAACAGGAGGAAAGGGGCATGGGCCATAGAGACCACGGATGACCTCAGAGCGTGTCAACTGCTCGGCATGGGCCACCTCTCTCTGTGGAGGCCCCAGAGATCTGGCTTCCTCTTGCCTCTGTGTCTTGGGGTCTCTGCCCCCCTAACCCTCCTGGGTCCTGCACCCATAGAGACGTGCACAGGCCCGTTGTCATTCACTCTCTCATTAGGAGTCATGTAAAAAGTCATCAGATTCAAACCAGCACGGGGGAAACGCCACGCGAGTGGCTTTCAAAGCCGGTGCCTGGTGCTGCCTGGGCCCCCGTCGCATCTCTGCTCTGCACTTGTCCCTTCAGCCACGTGCATTTGCCACAGTTTGGTTCCCTTTCTGGTCATCCCTCTGTGACAGGTCCACAGTCCATGCCAGAGAAACAAGATGAGGGAGACTCAGCCAGCCACGGCGGCCCTCAGGTCCAGCAAGCGAGGCAGGGCCTGGGTGGACCATGAACACACTGGCCGGGTGCAGGGAGTGCAGTGTCCCGTCGGAGCCTGAGCGGGGAGCAGACCCAGTGGGACCACATGAGTGCGGGGCGGAGGTCGGGGAGGAGGGGCTCCAGGGGTCCCGCTCCAGGGATTCCTGCCAAGGGCAGGAAGTGTGTGTCCTGGAGACAGTGAGCTGCGGGCACCTGATGTCAGTGGAGGGAGACGCCGGGGCAGGAGGAGGGCGGCCCTAGGAGCGGAGGTCACTTACAGCCCCGGACCCCCCTCTGCCATGTGAAGCAATCATCCGTCTCTGTCCACCCTTTAGCCTGCTCGGTCAGACCCCGTGGTCCCATGAGATGCACCAGCGGGGCAGAGCACCTCCTGGATCACCCTCGTCCTCCTGCCCCACCAGCCAGGGCGCAGCTCTGGCTTGGCTGAGGTGACTGCAGGCCATGCACAGAGTCCTGAGAGCCCAGCTCCCTCCTGGGCGGCTGAACCAGAAACCAGTTCCGTCTCCTGGGAACCCCTCAGTCCACGGCCTCCTCTGGCCACCCCTAACGTGCTCACGCATCTACCATTCATACGTGTGTAGTCTAAGCACTGCCTACGTGCCAGACAGGAGTCAGTCAACTGGCGTTTGATGATGAACAAACAGACAAGAACCCAGCCCCATGCAGCTTGCCTTCTGTGTTGGGTAGAGAAACACAGCACACACACAAGGAGGATGCTCAGAGGGGTGCTCAGGGGCTCATGCTAAGGAGGGAAAACCCAGCAGGACCGGGAGGCCGAGACACAGCCACCAAGGTTATCTGCTCCCCAGAGCCTGTGATTGTGACCTGGGTCCTTGTGGACAGAATCAGGGGAAGGGTCTGGAAATGAGGAGGTCCCTGTAGGTGTCCAGGGGGAGACACACAGGGGAGTCTATACACAGCAGAGGAGGACTCCTTGTGACCCAGAGACAGAGATGGGAGGGATGCGCCCACGGGCCAGGGAGCCTGGAGCCGCGGAGGATGGAGGGGTGGAGAGGAACCTAGTCTGGGGCCTCTGGGAGGAGTTCAGCACTCCCACCCCTGATATGGGACTTTCAGAACATTTCGTGTTGTGTTAAGCCTCCTAGTTTGTGGCACTTTGTTTCTGCAGATCCAGGACACTAATCCAACGGGGAGGAAAACAAGACCATCTTGAGTTGGTGAGGGAAGGACAGTCCATGGGCAGCAGGAGCCCAGAGCCCGAGGCAGGAGGAGGGGCAGGGCCATCTGAAGAGGCCGGGGAGCCCAAGCTGGGGAGAGAGGGAGGGGCCGGGATGGTGGAGTTAGAGCAGAGCGAAAGGGAGGGCCTGGGTGAGACCAGAGAGGAGACGCAGGCTCCCAGTGGTGGCCCAGCCTCCCGGCCAGGCCCCGCCTTCGGGACTGGACACTGAGGAGGTTCTGAGCTGGGGGGACCAGGGCCTGACCCTCTCCCATCGGTCCTGTGACTCTGCCTGGTCCACACCTGCCATCCCACGGCTCGGGTTTGGCCGGAAACCCTCAGCTCACAGCAGTCTGCTGTCCCTCCCCGCCACCCTCCTGTGCACGGAGGTGTGGGACCGAGGGCCGACTCAGGGACAGAGGTTTCTCAATCCGGCCCGGGACGTGGCCACCGAGCTGTGTGGCATGAAACGAGGGCCACAGTGTGGACATGCAGACCTGCCCTCAGCCGGCCCCAGAGGCACGAGGACCCACTAATTGGCCATGTGGGCAGTGTTGCCTCCTGGCAGGGTAATTGGGCCCTGGAGTCCTCGAGCTCCAGCTGAAAAAGCCAAGACACCTGTGCCTCCCAGCCGCCCGGGCAGCCCGCCTCTCCAGAGCGTGTCCCAGCCACACTGGCCCCGTGGCTGGCCTACCAGTCATTGGATATAGGGAGAAGCCACTCACAGTGAGGACCGGAGGACCCCAGGTGGGATGAGCACCTTCCATGCTGGTGTATGTTGGTTTACTGTGATTCTAGAGCGTGGTGTGTACACGGCATCCTGGCTGAGTTATTGTGTGTGTGTGTGTGTGTGTGTGATAGACAGAGGGACTCCACCAGCCATGCCTGTCCCCCTGCCCACAGCTGATTTGGGGCAGAGACTGTGCAGGACTCCCCTCTGCAGTCCATCACCGAGACTCAAATGTGCTCCAGAAATGGCCCTCACACCTGTGGGCCCTGTGCCAACTACACACCCGCGGGTCCTGTACTGAGCCTGTTTCTGACATCACCCCCCGCCTCCCCAACAGCTCACATGGACTGGGCAGGCCAAGGACACCTGTCCCCATGCTGGCTCAGGGGCCGTGCAGGTGGTCTCCCAGGTGTGGGGGAAGCGGCTGCAGGATGCCAGGGCCAGTGAAGTCAGGGAGACCCTGCTATAGGTCCCCCCAGAGCCCCCTAAATCCATCCTTCCTGGGAAGGGAATCTTCTTCACCCCTCTGCGGTTTTCCCAAAGGATCCAAAAGAGTTTGCATTTGCTGGCTGGGTAAGAGCCTTCTCTCTGCAGCCACTGGAGAACTTGCTTCTGAGGAGAGAACCTGGGCTCCCTGCCGCTTCT